AGAAATGTGCTACTTCCTCCAGATAAAATATAAGAGATTAGTAACTAATTTACAGTTCTAAAAAAATATTATTTTTTTAGTTGAAATGTTAATTTCTTAAAATTTTGTACATCTTTTTAATTATATCATCATTAAATACCCTATATGAGAGCCTTAATAATAGTAATTAAAATTCTAATGCATCATGTTTTCAAAAAGGGTAATAAATGAAGTAGGTGTGTAATTGAAAAAATAATAATAAAAGTTACTAGATGTCATATATTTTGGATTAAGTAAGACTTTTAAAAGATATCTTATATTATTGTTAAGAGGAAGTATGTTAAAGATAGAAAGGAATACATTATAGAATTCCAATTTTGTTTAATAATAATAAAGACTAATCTTGGATATAGAGGACAAAAGGCCATATCATTATTCATTAGGTTTACTCAATACACAAGAGTTGAAAATTGAATTCAATTATAGCTAAACTGAATTCAATTATATTATACAACTTTTTCTAAAATCTTAACTTTCCTTGTCTATATTGTAGGATATTTTAGGAGAATAATGGTAGACCTAACGAAGATATATATATATATATCACAGATATTCTACAAAGAAACTTTGAAAAAGTTAATTACTTAAGTTTTTGTGAAAGTAAAATCATTTACTTGAAATATAATTTAATTGTTTAGATCATTTTAAAATTAAATCATTAAAATTAAAATTATACAATTTTTTGATGATAAATTATAAATATTTTATATAAAATAAGATAATTCAAGTTAAGAAATTGTATCATAAATCTGTATCGCTTTATTTATTTTTTTTTGTCCTTTCATTAAATTTTATCTATCCATTTAAAAAAAAAGTAATGTTTTGGGTGAGACATCATTTTAAATGGGTGTCTCTTAGAATAATTAAAGAAATGTAATTCTTACTTTAAATGTTGTTTTTCAATATCTATGAATAAAGTTGTTTGCCCAAAAAAAATATCTATGAATAAAGTTAAATTATGATTTGATTTAACTATTTAATTAAATATTTTCTGGCCAAAAATTTAAATTAAATATTATTGTAATAAGCATTCGGAATGTTAAGTCATTCTTTTTTTTTTAATATCGCTAGGTAACTTTGAAAAGTTTTTCTATATTCACATCAAACTTGAAATTTCGTGTGTAAGCTACTATAATTTTTTTTCACTAGAACCAACGTCTATTGGTAAAAAATTCACTCTTTTAAATTTTATTATACTATAGAAAATCTTACAAAACTTCAAATAAAAAAGAATTAATGAACAAAATGAACTTTGAAGTATTGCTCGAAAAACATTCTAAATTTTAAACTTTTAAAATATGCAAAATAGACTTTAAACTTTTAAATTCATAATAAATTAAACTATACTTTTATTTTTTCATTAACTCCATTACTGTTTACCTTGGGCCCCAATTAAATGCTAATGTGGCAATCCTTTTGTTGATGTGTAATTTATTAATTAGTGCCACAAACCTAAAATATTGCCCACATAGCATCTTGGACCCTAAATTTTAAAATTTTGAGCAAATTATTCCCACCGTTTATAAATAAAAAATTTATCATTATGTAGATTAAATTCACCTTAGCATGGTTCACTAAGGTACATACATCGTTGGCCATGGCGAACGATCCATAATTTTGTGAAATAACATTTTTTGTTTTTTTTTGTAGTGTTTTTCAAACGATTAGTATCACATGCTTCTATATACTCCATAACTCTGATTTAGCCTTATTTTAAATAATGTTTATTTATTTAATGGTGAAAACTTGAGATTTCATTGGAAAAGAAATTTAAATATTAGAGAATTTTAATTAATTGGTTAATTTGGGTTTTAAATTCGTTGATGAAATCATCGAATTTCGCATCCATCGTTTGTAAAATCCTATTATACTTAAATTTCTTTTCAAATGAAATCCTAAGTTTTTAACATTAAATAAATAAATATTATTTAAAATAAGACTAAACCAGAGCTATAAAGTATACGAAAGTATAAGATATCAATCATTTGAAAAATATTACAAAAAAGGGCAAAAACATCATTTTATAAAATTATGGATCATTCGTTACGACTGACGATGTATTTACTGTGGCGAACCAAGCCAAAACTAATTTAGTATATATAATAGTTAATATTCTATACATAAACGGTTAGGGTAATTTGCTCAAAATTTCAAATTTCAAGGCCCAGGATACTACTCTTGTAATAATTTAAGATTTGCGGTGATAATTAACAAATGACACATTAGCAGAGGACTATCACATCAACATTTAACTGGGCCCATTGTAAATAATAATGGAGTTAACAAAAGGATAATGATAGGGTTTAATTTAATATGAATTTAAAAGTTTAAAATTTATTTTATATATTTCAAGAGTTCAGGATCTAGAGTGCTTTTCACGCAGTAATTTAAGATTCATTTTACTCATTAACTCAATAAAAAAAGGACAAGGCGAAAGCACACCTTAACGGCTCAACCCAAAAGAACGAAATGGATGTTTAAGGGTTATTTAATTTGTTCTCATTTTTTATTTTTAAAAATTGTTTTATAAACTAAATTTTTAAAATTAATTTTTAAAACAAAATAAAAAATTATTTGATTTTGTTAATTTAAAAACAATTTAGAGTAAAAAATCCGCTAGTGATTAATAATAGTGACCTATGGTAATGATTAACCATAGTTAAAGATAATTCATAATAATTAGATGTAGTATATTTTAAAAATAAAAGGACAAAGAAAACAAAAACATCTCTAAGTTTTTTTATTTTTAAAAGCAAAAAAGTAAGAACATAATGGTAGAGAGGGAAATTATGGGCATATTTGGTTCTTATTTCCAAAAGCCGGTTGTTGTTTTTTAAAACCAAAAATTTTAAAACTCATTTGGATAAGTTTAAAATTTAATTGTTTCTAAAATTATTCTCATTTTTGTTTTTAAAAACAAAAAAAATAAATACGTTTTTTTATTTCTCTTATTTTTAAAATAAATTACATTCAATTAATAAAAATTATTGTCACTTTGACTAAGTATTGTCATATGCCACCATTATTAACCGCGGGCAACTATCATTATTAGTTGATTTTTTAAATTTAAAACTATTTTTAAATTAATACAATCAAACATATTTTTTTGTTTTTTTTTAAATATAATTTTAAAAATTATATTTCAAAATGAAAAAAATAGAAATACAGCCAAACAACCCTAAATTATTTTAATTTCTTACCTTTTTCTCTCTTCTTGTTTATGATAATGATAAAGAGCGAAAATATGAAAAATTAAATAGACATTCTATTTTAAAAAAATCATTTAAACTAATGACACATACTATTTTATTTGATTGGACTTGTGCAATTTTATTAAATACTCTGTCTGGCCTATAATATAAAACATCTTCTAGAAGTTTTATTTGGTCTAGAATATAAGGTATCAAGTAACTTTTATAATTATTTTTTCAATCATATTCCTATTTCATTTATTATTCTTTTTGAAAAAAAAATGATGCATTGAAATTTTAATTATCATTATCATTTATCAAGACACTTATATAAGGTATTTAGTGAAAGTAAACTTGAGAAGATGAAATTTTAAAAAATAAAATAAAATTTTAACCAACATTTTTTAAAACTGTGAATTAATTAACAGTATCCTGTATTTTGGTCCAAAGAAGGAAGATAATGAATCACGTGATACTCCTATTTCTTGCAAAAGTTTCTCAACAACGTATCTTTGAGAAAAGGAAGGTAGAGACAAAGAGCTATGTATGCTTTCTACATTTATTAGCAACTTTATTATATGTTTCACCAAAACATACCACATTGCATGGGTCAAAGGACAAAATATAACCCACCAAAAAAAGGACAAATATATGATACTTTTTTTTATTAAAACAAATATATAATATTTTAATATGTTGAAGACTACACATCGTCACCAAATTTGATGATCAGGTTTCAAATTACTATTGCCATATTTGTCACCTACTCACCTGATTGTTTTTCCAGTTATCATAGTATTCTTTTTAATTCGTGGATTTCGTGCTTCTTTGATTAGTATACATAGAATTTATCACTAGCATCTGAATAATGTCATTTCTAGAAAAGAATAAAAACTTTAGTGAACAAATGTTTATTAGGGATTGGGTTTTAAATGAATTAAAATTTTGGAATTGAGTTGTGACCATTTGAAAGAACTTTTAAATGATTCAAAACTTTGAGAAGCAAAAGATTAATTTTTCCACTAAATAATAAATTTATGTTAACATTTGTTATCATGCATATAATAAAATTTCAAACAATTAAATTTGTTATTTTATTGCACGTCCCACATTTTTTTTAAATATTGATGATGATTATTGAGTTAAGAAACAAAAATATCTATAAACTTTTTTTGCCCCCAAAAACTTCTGTTATCTTTAAATCAATAATAGTATATAAATACCCATTAATTTTATTACAAAAAAGCCAACCCTTTTACCATGTGAATGTGGTACAGATAATAATGATTGAGGCTCTTTAAATATCATTTCAAAGTTTGATACCTAAAAGTATGCATGGTAAGCACCATTTGAGAGAAGACAACCCCTTCATGGTGCTCAAATTATTCAAGAGATTAATCTTATAATCTCATAGCTGCTGACTGTAAATTTAACTTGGAAAATCAAAAATAGGGACCAATCTTCTCCAATATATTAAATTCTATCATTAGAATTTAACAGTTTAATTAATCCTAATTTAACGGATTAGGAAAAATTAACCTTTTATTAAATTAATGAATGTCCATGATATCATAAATTGCAGGTAAAAAAAGTTTCTGCATATTTTTACACCTTTACCCATGATTATTTATTCTAATTCTCTGTTTTGCTTCCATGAGATGGCTATCTAAGTTGCCCTCTCATCAGCAGCCTCTTCAAAGCTCTGCATCATTCTCTTCTTTATACCTTTTCTTTTCAGTCAACAAATTTTCCAGTATAAAAGTCTACTCATGAGCACAAGGAAAAGGATTGGAATTACAAACTTTAAAACCCATTCACTGCTATTAACATTAACATTAACATCAACATTCATGGCCGTGAACTGTAAGACATAACGATATCAAAATCAGAATTGTCATCGTCATCACTGCTCTCATGCATATGATCATCATCATCATCAATTTCAGCATCACTAGTTTCAGTCTCAGAATTGGCATCAACAACAACAGAATGGGAAGTCCAATCAGGGGGGAAAGTCTTCTGCAAGATTTGTGTAAGTTCACCGCCGGTTCTTTCAATCTTCCGTAAACATTTCGACCAGTGTACAGCAGTTCCCATGTCTACAGTCATCTCAGACTCTACCATCTCTGTACATATGGACAAGAGTCCATTGTAAATGTAAGCTTCAGCAAAAGTTGCTCTGGAAAGCAAAGATGTCACCAGACAGTGATACACTGCTTTATCAGGCTTCAACCCAGAAGCTTTCATCTCTTCAAAGCACTTCAATGCCTTCTCTGGAAGAGAAGCACGAGCCCAACCATGAATTACAGTGGTGTAGGTCTTCACATTTGGTTTTATACCACAAGCTTCCATTTCTTGAATAATCTGAGTAGCTCTCTGTAGAAGAAAAACAATGCGATAAAAAAAGAAAGCTGTTATAATATAAACTAGATTTACTTCCAATGCTATGTGTGATAACAATTTTGATAAAATTTAGACCGGATATATATTTGGATGGGGTTGGGGAAGTTGTAAGTGGGAAATTCAAAATTAAAATGATATAAAAGGATATGAAATAGAAGAAATGTATTTAAAAAAATAATAAAAATGAGAATAATAAGATAATAAAAGAAATACGTAGAGCCTGATATAAGAGCTGTACTATTGACCAGGCTTGTCAATGAAGCAACGTTATTCATTAGTTGTAAATAATGCAGCTTGTTAAAGATTTGTGTGTGTGTGTGTGAGACAATAAAGAGGAGGAAAACTTCATGTAGTCATCAGGAAATCATTTCTTTCAAACGAATCCCTAAACCATAAACATCCTAGCAATCTTACTCTTTCTCTCATTTTACTCCAAAATTTAACGTCAGATTTAGCAGTCTGCTGACTTGGATGTTATTCCCATACCAGACACCATTAACACGCATTTAAAAGTAGACATCCCAACCAGTAAATAGTAAGAATTGGAGCTAATTTTTAAATGAAATAAGGGAAGGAAGGAAACAACGAAGCAATTTGATGATTGAAGAATTAAATTAAAAGAAATAATCTGTAGGGAAATTTTTTCCTCTGGGAAACGTGGACTTTGTTTGGAATGGGAACAACATAGGGAGGAAAGAAAACTGTAAAAGAAAATTAAAGGAAAAAGGAATTTTTCTTTTTTTTTTTTTTTTCTTTACCCTTCCCCACTAATTTCTCCATAAAGAAAGGGAAAACTAAAGGAGAAACTTTATGTTAGGGAAGAAAAAGGTCTCTCTCTTATACTTTTCCTCCCTAGTTTTATTTCCTTAAAATCCCATCCCCTTGTTAAGGACCAACATAAAGTTTCCCAATGAAAAAACCTAATAGAGCTTTCAGAAATATTTTAAAATCTAATTCTTACCAGAACAGAAAGTAATGAGAAGCAGAATATCAAGGAATGCTGATGGAAATTCCAGATGTATTTACCATGATTTACAGGGAGACAGCAGACACCTAACTAAATATCACTAAATCCTCCTCCAATTCCTCGGTAACCAAATTCTGACGCTACTTACATTAAATCCGAAAATTTACTTCTAAACAAGAATATTCTTCAAAAGATTCAAAACCTTTAGTTGACAAGATTTAATACTCCAGCTATAAGCTGATATAACAAAAAAATTTCCATGAACAAGAAAGTAGAAACTCTTCTAAGACATGCAAACAGAACTGAAATCAGAATCTCATATAATGAGATGCATGACAAAAGCATTGTTTTCTTGCAATGCCCTTCGTTCATTCTTATAATGCCACATGATGATGAGCGCACACAAAATTTTAACATCAACAACCAATAAAATTATACAATATCAATCAAGTAACATGTACAACAAACATGACATGAGCTAAAGTGATTCAATACAATTGTCATATAAATTGCAGACGATTATGCTTTCAAGTTCAATTATTGCAAGCAAATCATTTAATATCATACCATCATATCCCCAGCTTTAGAACAAGCATTTACAAATGATGTATAAGTATGGACGTCAGGTTGAACCCCTTCCTTTTTCATTTGTTGCAACAGGTCTGCAGCCTCCCAAACATCACCTCTCCGAGCCCACCTAAGCAAGTTTAAGAAAAGATACTTGAATAGGAAGAACAAGCAAGCCGATAAAAAGGAAAACATCAATAAGTTGGATAAGAGTAGATATGCATATGAAAAATGGTCACACACGCCTATAGACATTGCAATGATTCAAGAAAGCAACAAAAATTTAAAATAAATGTGAAAACTTCAATTCTGAGTAAGTTATTCATACCCATCAACCAGTATGTTATAGACAAAGGTATTTCTTGGAATCTTTCTTGCACTCATTTCTTTTGTGACTGCCAGAGCACTCTGCATTCTGCCTGACTTGCAACATGCCTTCAACAAAGCCTCGTATGTATATACATCAACCTCCAGTCCCTCATTCTTCAATCTGGAGAAGTACTCGAAGGCCTTTCCAATGTCACCCAATGATGCATAACCATGCATGATACTCGTGTATGTGTGTTCATTTGGGCTAATGCCCGCCAGATTCATTTCATCCAATATTCCCACAGCCTTTTCCATCTGCAAGAAATGCAACATATTCACACAAAATGGTTCATATTGATAGAAGTTAAGTATAAGTAAATGGGCACATGCTTTAAATAAATAAGAACATTTGGCAATGAGACAAGACTTTCTCATAAGAATTGGCTTACATCTGAGATCACATTTGATCCCTTACTTGTTTGACTTGATTTTAGATATTTTGATTGAGAACAGTCAAGAGTGAATCCTTAATTGCATTTTTGTTGCAAATGATATAGTTCTTATTGCAGAGTCAAGAGAAAATATTAACTCCAAAAAGTTATGGAAATGCACTTTGGAGTCAAAGGGTTTATGCTTGAGTAGAAGTTTAACAGAATATATGTATTGCAATTTTGATAAGAGGTCAACTAATAGTTATTTGGAAATGAGGTTGGAAGGTCAAATCACACCACAAATGGAAAAGTTTAGATATCTGGAAGCAATTATTCAAAATGATGATGAAATTGACCAGGATATTGCACATAAGATATAAGCTAGGTGATTTAAATAGAGAAAGGCTATAGAAGCTATTTGTGATCAAAAGGTATCTAATATGCTTAAAGAGAAGTTCTATTGAACTATTATAATACTAGTCATATTATATGGTAATGAATGTTAGATTTTAAAAAGACAAAGAACATAAAGTTGGAATAGTAAAGACAAGGATGTTAAGATAGATGTACAGACATACACAAAAAGATAAAATCCATAACAAGTATTTATGAGAAAAGTTAGGTATGGCATCTATTAGGAAGAATATGATAGAAAATCATTAGAGTTGATTTGGACATGTATAGAGAGAATGCTATGGGAGTCACTGGTAAAGAGAGTATAATAGATAATGTTGAACCACGTGAAGAAGGACAGAGGAAGACCTAAGAGAATACTTAAGAAAGTTGTTGAATGAGACATTTTGGTTAACAATATCCCCAAACACTTTGTTATTAATAGAGTACAATTACTACGCCTATGTTTATAGCCGGTCCCAAGCCCGGGTAAAAGAGGAGGGTTGTGTTAGGCCATCAACAGCCAATGTAAAAATTTGTTGAATCTATCATGAACATGGACAATAGACGTTATAATGATAAGTGAGTTAGAGCCGCTGCATCGGCGCCCGGATGTAGTGTTAAATGAGCAAGGGCTACCGCGTCATTCTGGACGCACGCGACTAAAGAAGTTAGTCCATAAGAGCAAAATTAGATTTGGTACTTGGAATGTTGGGACATTAAATTGTAAATCTGTAGAGGTTGTAGGGGTTATGATTCAAAGGAAAATCAATATCATTTGCTTGCAAGAAACAAAATGGCGTGGAGAAGAAGCTAAGGATATTCAAGGTTTCAAACTTTGGTATACAGGAAAAGTAAGTGCACGCAATGGAGTAGGCATCATTATAGATAAGGAGTGGAAGAAGAACGTTGTAGAAGTTAGCAGAATTGGAGACAGAATTATTTCTTTAAAAATGATAATTGGACGTGAGACTGTTAATATTGTTAGCGCTTATGCGCCGCAAGTCGGGACAGAAGCCAGTCTTAAGGAATTATTTTGGGAGGATCTGGAGGGGTTGATTCGACATATACCACAGAGTGAAAAGATTTTTATTGGAGGAGACTTTAATGGGCATGTCGGGAGGGAAGTTGGTCAGTATGCGAGGGTGCATGGTGGTTTTGGTTTTGGAGAGCTAAACAAGGAAGGGCAAACTCTTCTTGATTTTTCATTGGCGTATGATTTTAAGATTGCCAACACTTGTTTCAAGAAGAGAGATGAGCATCTCATCACTTACAAAAGTGGAGCCTCAAGGTCGCAGATTGATTTTCTTTTGGTTAGGAACACAGATAGAAAACTTTGTAAAAATTGTAAGGTGATACCCGGAGATGCTGTAACGACACAACATAGGGTCCTAGTCCTTGATGTGTGTATTATGAGTAAAATCCAAAAACGTCGACAAGTAGTAACACCAAGGATTAGGTGGTGGCAATTAAAAGGTGAGAAGCAAGATATTTTCAAGCGAAATCTTTTGGATAAAGGAATTTGGGATTCTCAGGGAAGTGCTAACATTATATGGGAGGATATGGCTAAAAAGATACGGGAGGTTGCAAAAGTAGTTTTGGGAGAATCGAAAGGTTCTGGTCCGAGAGATAAGGAGTCTTGGTGGTGGAATAATAGTGTACAGGACAAAATCAAGTATAAGAAGAACTGTTTTAAAGCCATACATTTGTGTAACAATGAGGAAAATTGGGAGAGGTACCGTATGGCTAAAAAGGAAACTAAGAGAGCTGTGGGTGAAGTTCGTTCTAAAGCTTTTGAAGAATTTTATAAGAACCTTGAGACGAAGGAAGGAGAGCAAAATATTTATAAGATTGCCAAGAATAGGGAAAGAAAATCAAGAGATCTAGAACAGGTAAGGTGTATTAAGGATGAAGAGGGAAGAATTTTAGTTACAGATGATGAAATTAAAAATAGATGGGAGACTTATTTTTCTAAACTTTTCAATGATGGAGAGGATTCATCTAGTAACTTGGAGGATTTAGTAACTGGTGAAGGAGAACAAAATTTATCATTCTATCGAAAAATACGTGATAAGGAGGTAAAGGAAGCTCTTAAGAAAATGGCAAATGGTAGAGCCAACGGACCTGATTGTATATCTATCGAAGCGTGGAAATGTTTAGGTGAAGAAGGGGTGAGATGGTTAACTAAGTTATTTAATGTGATTTTACGGTCCAAGAAAATGCCTGATGAGTGGAGGAGGAGTACATTAATTCCTATTTATAAAAATAAAGGAGATATTCAGAATTGTACTAACTATAGAGGGATTAAACTCATGAGCCACACAATGAAATTGTGGGAGAAAGTAATTGAGCACAGGTTGAGATTGGAGACAAGTATTTCTGAGAATCAATTTGGTTTTATGCCAGGTAGATCAACTACAGAGGCGATTTATCTACTAAGGGGATTAATGGAAAAGTATCGTTGTAAAGATAAAGATCTACACATGGTTTTTATTGATTTGGAAAAAGCTTATGACCGTATACCAAGAGAAGTGCTTTGGAAAGCGTTGGAAAAAAAGGGAGTACGGATTGCTTATATTAAAGCCATACAAGATATGTATGAGGGGGTAAAAACTAGTATAAGAACGCCTAGTGGTCAAACAAAGGATTTTTCTATAAAGATTGGACTACATCAGGGATCATCTCTGAGTCCTTATTTGTTCAACTTGATTTTAAATGTTTTGACGGAACATATTCAAGAGGAAATCCCGAAATGTATGCTCTTCGCGGATGATATAGTTCTTATAGCAGAGACAAGAGAAGAGGTTAATTGCAAACTTGAGTTATGGAGGAGGACATTGGAGTCGAAAGGTTTTCGTCTGAGTAGAAGTAAGACGGAATATTTATATTGTAAATTTGGTAAAGGACTATCCGAAAATAATTTGGAAGTGAAATTGGGAGATCAAATTATACCTCAAGTGGAAAAGTTTAGATATTTGGGAGCCATTATTCAAAATGATGGCGAAATCAGTGGAGATATTTCACATAGAATTCAAGCTGGGTGGTTTAATTGGAGAAAAGCTAAAGGAGTTATTTGTGACCGTAAGGTGCCTAATAAACTTAAAGGAAAGTTTTATCGTACTGCTATCAGACCGGCAATGTTATATAGTAGTGAATGCTGGGCTCTAACGGGACAGCAAGAGCATAAAGTTGGAGTAGCAGAGATGAGAATGTTACGATGGATGTGCGGACATACACGTAAAGATAAAATTCGAAATGAGCATATACGCGAAAAAGTGAGGGTGGCACCTATTGAGGAAAAAATGGTAGAAAATCGGTTGAGATGGTTTGGGCATGTACAAAGAAGACCAAGGGAGGCACCAGTGAGAAGAGTGGAACATATAACTTTGAGTCCGATTAAGAGAGGTAGAGGAAGGCCTAAGAGAACACTCTTGGAAGTTGTTGAACGTGATCTCTTAATTAATAATATTTCTAAAAGCTTAATAAATGATAGAGCACAATGGCGTCTTGCAATCCATGTAGCCGACCCCACCTAGTGGGATAAAGGCTTGTTGTTGTTGTTGTAGAGTACAATTACATCATGTAATCCATATAGTCGACCCACATAATGAGACAAGGCTTATTTTGGTTGTTTTTAATGGATAATATATAAAGGTTTTAATTTAGCATTCCTATCTTGGAGCATCGTTTCAGCCTCAAACTAGCACCCTTCTAAAGCAAAAGCTAGGATTTGCATGGAATCTGTTGCACGCATTGTGGAGAGCCCTCAAACCTTAGAGCAATTTCTCGAATCCCGGAGCATAATTTCAGCCTTGAATAGCAGTCAACCCATCAATACTTCAGTATGTGTTGCGTTTTTTGAAAATAAAAGGCACAACAACGAGAAGTGAGCATAACCAGTAGAAGCAATTGAAATTTGAGAGGAAAAAAAAAATAACGGGAATAAAAACAATTTAGGGAAGGCGGAAGATGAAAGGAGGAGGGAAGGAGAAACTAGAAGCTTGAAAACAAGCATAAGAGCATTATATGTGTGTACAGTGGGAATTTATGACTATTTGTCAAGCACAAGTTACCTGACGCTTCTCAACAAGGCCAAGAATAAGAGCATTATATGTGTGTACAGTGGGAATGCAGCCACTCCTCCTCATCATATCAAAAATATCTAGCGCTCTTCTCATCTGTCCCTCTCTTGCAAAACCATGTATAATGGGCATAAACGTCCGTGTTGTAGGTCTATGCCTCTCCTTCTGCATTTCCATCACAATACGAATAGCACGATCCATATTACCCATCCCACAAAAAGCTCTTATGATATTATTGTAGAGCACTACATCAGGCTTCAAACCATCTTTTGAAACATCTTCAAAAACTGCAAAGGCATTGGCCCAGTCTTTTAACTTTAAGAATCCATTGATCAACATAGAGTAGGTCTTCATGTTATGTTTTATTCCAGCCATTTTCATCATTTTGCTAATCTCCAATGCTTCAGAAACTTTCCCAATCTGGAAAAGAAATTAAGAATACCATATTCTTATAAATCACGTCTTGGGGTCAGAAATAAAACACATCTTGTGGTAGACCAAGTAAAGCATTAAGCAAGCCAATTACAATGTCAGAATTGCAAGAAAAATCACAGATCCACAATATATCACACAAATAACTAGAATCGACCTATTTCAATAGAAAATTTCAGCATGTTTATTCTTATCACACCACAAAGACAGGAAAGAGTAAAACAAATAATTAAAACCAAAAACATGGACCCTTGGACAAGTATGAAGGCCTTGGATAATAAGTAAGCTGAGAAAAAACTCATAACAATGCATCTAGTTGCATCTAAAGCTGACTCAAAACTCGTAAGGAAGTTGACGTTTCAGTGTCAAAAAACTTAGTACCTTTCAGGTAAGAATTTAAGCGAACAGAAACTAATCACATCCATTATACAAATTTTGGAAGGGTAAAATGGCAAATTGGCCATTAAACTACACACCCGGTCACCCAGGAGTATTTGAGACCCAAAACTTGTTTTTGGTGTATTTTCACCCCCAAAACATTTAAAATGTAGCAATCTCCCCCACTTCATAAGGTCCTTTTCTGTGATTCTTTTGATAATTTTCTGTAATGTGAGGTCCTTTTCTGTAATTTTCTAGTCAGCTAACAGTCAAAGTGATGTGGGAAGATTACCACATTTTAAATTTTTGGGGTTGAAAATGCACCAAAAACAAGTTCAAGTCCTAGGCTATAGTTTAAGGGCTAAATTGCCATTTTACTCATTTTAGGAAAACATTGAAATAAGAAAAGAAATTTTCTCTGCCTAAAACCCTGAAACTGGAATATATATTTTTTAAATAAAAATAATTTATAAAGATAAATTGAATTAAATCAGATAAAATTAGTTTATTCACATAGAAAGCAACAAAAGCAATGATCAACAAGAAAATATACAATTGTTTTTTCTTCAGAATGGAAAGAAAAGTCATCATTAATCAGGAAGTATTTCGAACAGCCAAAAGAAGAAGAGAGATCCGAAACCTATCACCGATCCCCACCTCCCTGTAGTAAGGTGAATATTGATCACAGGTACAGAGAGAGAGAGAGAGAGAGAGAGGAATGGAGTGAGAACTTGCAACCTGTCTCTAAACTGAAAAATCAGAAGAACATTCCAGTTGAATTAAACTAAGGAATTGGAAGATGTCTTACCTTGGTGTAAAGATTAATAAGACAGCCATAGGTGACAACGGAGGGTGTGAAACCACATTCCTTGAGGGAGGCAAAAAAAAAAAAAAGTTACCAAGCAATTCAATTTCAATACGTACTCGTTCAAATAATTTAAATACTGCATACATCGAAGTAAGAACACTTTTATAAATTAATGACTTGAACAATAATCACTTCGTGCTGAGAATTAAGATTGAGAAGCATACAATTTAGACACTTCATGTATGGTCCTTCCATAAAGAAAAATAGTTGCAAATCATTTATGATCCTAGCTTATTAAGTACTCAAATATACTGAAGTCCAAAAGCTCAGTCATTTCTCAGTTTTATGTATAAGGGAACTACTCAAATAAAATGCATGCCCAGCATCACTCACTCTGATGCAAGCCAGATTATTGAAACAAAAATTCAGGAAGAGGATGTTCAAACTACAGTGGCTCCAAAATTCTGATAAAAATGTGAAATGTTACAAACTCTTAGAAAGAAAATTAACACTAAAGAATAGAAGAGGCGTCTCAAAAAAAGTCAATTGCAAAATCCATTGCAATGTAACCAACTAAATCCTATTTACCTGCTGAGTGAAATAAATCACAGTAAGATCTCAATAAGTAGGCTTAGGGAGGATCAGAAAAGGGTAATCTTAAGAGATAATGTTGGACAACCTATCTTCATTCTAATTATCTAAAGGTTCAACAGACAGTCCAATGGAGAGCTTCTTTATTTACACTTAATACCAATAGACATGTAGGATATAATGTGCGATAATGATAGATCAATGTCACTGGTTAGTCCTCCCTTACAATTGAAGCTAGGTGGAAAGTTCTTTGGCAGCTATATTTCCATTATATGCTGCATCTTATTAGCGGCTACAAAATTTGTGCAAAAAATTGTTTAGGTATATGTTGGATGTTTATAACTCTGACAGGAGAGAGAAAGGAAGAAAAAGAGAGGGAATGAGAGAAAGAGAGAGAGATAGAGATGATGCAGAGAGAAATACGAGAGAGAAGAAATGAGGATGAGAACAAGCCTGAATATTAATTCATATCACACACACACCTTACAATGACTCCTTATTTCCTTATACAACCGTTGGCTCACTAACATTCCCTATTGCCTATTATACCCTTTACTAACTACCCAACTAACTTGCAAGGCAAAAAAGAAAGAGAAATTATATTAATTTCTAAGCTGTCCGACATTTAAATTGAAGAAGATTATGAACAAGCTTTTACCTTAAGTCTGTCAAACACAATCAAGCATTTTTCTTCATTGTCAATCATAGTATAACCATCCATCATGGTATGATATATGTCAATGGGAGCATCTATTCCTTGTTCTTCCATCTCCCTCACCAAGGCTTCAGCTTTTTGCATATTGCGAGTTTGGCTGAGATATACCCAAGATACCAAAAATCAAAAGAATAAAAAATCAGACAGAGATGATTAATTATCTATAACTCTCATTTGCAATCATAAAATATGTATGGGAAATTCCCCAGTTTGGGTAGAAGTTAGCATCCCCCAATCTTTATAGTGAACCAAAAATCTCTCAATATATACAATAAATGCAGGACGACTTAGGTCATCTTAAAACCTGATTTTATAAATGAACTAAATGACCTTGCAAATACCTGAACACCCTCTCTTAAAATAGAGAAATAGTTTTGAACGTTCCAATAAACAAACACACAATAAATAAATAAATAAGTATATAGATATATATATATATATATATATTTTGTTTGTATGAATGAATTACAATAAATAAATACTCACCAGTGTGCATAAATTATGTTGCTATAAATGATTGCATTCAAGGATAGATGCCTCTCTTTGGCCTCCTTAAACCAGTGATCTGCAGCACTTCCAAAACAAGATTAAATAATGTTATCTACATGATAAAGATGTGACATTTAAATCTTCACTTAAATATTATCAGACCATTCAAAAGACATTGATATATCAAATTATATAAAGAACATTCCACCAGTTGAGGAGCACAGAATTTGAGACAGAGGGATATCAAAGTACAGATAACCATTTTCAACAATATTCAATATAACGATTTAAATGTCAGAAATGAAACCAAAAACCAATCCTTGTTGCCCACTTGACACTTTAAAGAAGGGGGAGAGAAAAAATGAGAGCTCCCAACAATTGATGCAACCACTTAGTTTTTGCAGTTTCTATGATAAAGGGAAACAAAGAGCCTAAATAAAGAGATGAAACTTTTGATTTACATGTTAAAGCAGAAACTCACTCAAACTGTAGTCAAGTGAAACTCCAATTCATCTTTAAAGCATGTGCCTCTTTTCCCCATAAAAACAATAAATAGGAACAATAATCCAGCACCATATTCTGATGACAGTGAGCACTTAACAGTCAAAACATCTCTCTCTCCCCCCCCCCCAGTGAAAACTCGGCTTCTTAGTTATATCAAATTATTTAACCTTGATATTTGAAGCATCAGCATCACAATTATAAAGTTTAAAGTTTTAATTATCTACTCATCCAGCATTCTTTGTTAATTATCTTCTAGAATAGGACTGTTTCATTTCTGCTTCATATCAGAGAAGCCAAAAACATGTGAACAGTTCAATTGAATGAGAACAAGGATTGTGATGATGATACTAAAATATTTCTGGAGAAGTAAAAATTATCAGTTTTAATCATGATAAATGGAAGTCTCGCCATCTTTTTGTGCACTGAAAGTCTACAAAAAAATTCAAGCCCTGCAATAACTTTTTAACTCTAAATCGCAGTGTTTTCCGTTCATTATTGAAGAAAGAATCTTGTTTGCTGTAAGATTTTAGTACATGGACATTGGTTTATTTTCTTCATACTAATCATACCCTGGGCGTCTTGAAATGGCACATACTAAGAAGGTTTCTCACCTGACATAATTACTTGCAACAAAATGATCTGTTCTGTATCATAAAAATTTCTGATTTTTAGATTCGCTTTTCATCTGTTTTTCAGTTCTCTATTTCCATGGCATGTTTGTAAAACTTCCAGTTACTCAAAACATGAAAAATAACTTTTGATGGATCCCTAGAATGAGGAAATTGGAGAACTGTATTTTCCACAAGATTGGCTTTCCAACTATAATTTTGGTCTCCCTCAACTAGCATATGTCTCTATGCTATTTCATATTAAGAGGTTTAAATTCTCTCTCCTCTATTTTTTCATTAATCATACTTGAAAGTAAATCTTATAGCCAGAAACTGAAGTGTAAATTTTGTGATAAAAGATAAAGCAGTGCAGGTCAGTGGTCAAGTATGCTTACTCAGCATCACCCACTCTAGCAAATCCTCCGACAATAATACTATATGTCACCAAACTCATTTCAATGCCCTCCTCCTTCATCTTCCTAACACAAAGTAAAGCTTCTTCCATATCTCTTCCAACTGCATAAGCATGAATAAGACTGCAAGGATTTAACATGCATTAACATCAGAAGAAAAGAAAAACCACTGTGCATCAATATATACGTGAAAGGAGATGGAAAAATATCCAGTTTGAGCTATTTGAAAATCATTACATGGAATTTCTTTTTAAGGAAAATTTTTGAAATGGTAAAGATTTTAATAGTCAAAAGAAAGTTGCAATTTTTTCTCAATAAAAAATTTCTTCGGTTAAACATTCACTACTTAGGAGAAAACACGTGCCCATCAAAACGTCAGCTAGAAAGCTTAAAAAATGATTTCAAAACATCAAATTAAAATTTTACAGAAGCTCTGGTACAGGATTTTATTGTTTAAAAAAATCACCTCGTGTACACATGTGAAGATGGCTCTATTCCTCTTGCTCGCATGCTCTCAAATGTTTGACGTGCACGATGCATGTCCCCTCGTCTTGCATAATACTTAACCATCAAGCCATATTCTTTTCTGGAAGGCTGACGACATAAATACAACAAAATGAAACCAAGAGAAACAAACAGAATGTTAAAATTCAATCTTTCAAACTTATCACTAATGAATTTTTATACATGCCCAGGCAATATATAATCTATAAATACAAGGACAAACATTTTTTTATAAAAGAAGAAATTTTATTTGAATTAGAAGAACATAAAACTGGCTACAGGGTAAGAAATCTTCAAATCACAAAATACAAGTTAAAACAAAATCATATGCAGAAACATAAAGGAAATAAAATAATATTACAAACATAGACTTCTCAATTTTATTACACCATTCACTCTCCAAAAACATATGAAATCACTAATGGAATCATAAATCCAGAGGCAACATCAAATTCTAACAACTTAAATTTGTAAGGCCAGTTAGGAGGTTAATATAGTTAGAGTCTGTTAGTCATTATGTTCATTACATTAGTCAGGGATGGTTTGATAGATATGATTTATGACACTGTATAGATACATGATTCAGTAAATGAATGAACTACCGATCGGGTCAAATCTTTCAAAATTAATTTGAGCACGAGCTCAAACATTCATGGGTCTTCTTTGAAAACATTAAGCTTTTGGGAAGAAATGATCCTAACAAGGTAGGAGAGCCTTTTAACAGAGTAAAATGGAGTTTCATCCTTGCTATCCCCCATGCCTAACTAGATTAAACATACAAATTTATGTTCCGCACTTCTGCTGAATGGATCAAGGGCCACATATTTCAAACTGATAACTTTTAGGTTTCCAAAAAATGACTCATGACTATCTGGTTCCCACAATTTGACTTCGAACTCCAAAAACAAGTTTAATGCAATTAAGATAAATGTCTATATGGACATTTCTGGTACTATAAGGGACACGGTAGAAGATATTGCTCGAAAGCGCAGTAAATATGAAAATAGAATTTAAATGACTTATCATAGGACCTAGGCAGCTGAATTTTAGAGAATATTTAGCATGCCAAAGATAATTGCAAACTACTATAGACCAATAGATGCCACTTTATCTCTCTGCAATGGTAGACAAACATAATGAAAATAGCTACAGGGACTTTAAGCAGACATAAAATCATGTAACCTTGTCAGATTTAAGTGATAGGCTGCCAAAATTGTCTAACAGAGCATACCAAGTTGTCAGATGAACATAACAGCTATATCTTAAGTGAAATAAGTTAATCTACAATTAAAGTAATCGCATGAGGATATTGGCTGCCTCAAAATCTACGAAAGAGGCCTCACAAGTAGAAATGCTTTCATTTAAGATTTCATATAAATTATAATGCATAATCTCTATCATGTTGGTAAAGAATTTACACTTCCTGTCCAAATAGGATATGAACCCAACAATATAAAGTTGTAATATGCCAACAATAAGGCACTGTAAAATGCTTGCATTGATGTTAGCGCATTAAAAGTAAATCGATAGATAGATAGATTCAGCTGTTAAAGGCATACCAACGGGCTTTTTATTTTGAACCTTCTCACCTAAGACCATCTAACTCAGTCGACCATGACAAAATTAAACTTAAACGAAAACTGATTATGATAAATTGCACACCGCATCAGTTTCAGAGAAGTTATTAACGTGAATATTATCTTGCTACCTTTGTCCCAACAAAATCCAATCTGAACGAAATGGGAACTTAGCAAAGCCAATCTTTTCAATTATTGAAAGCTCAGATGATACTAAAATAAGAAAAATAAAAAAATAAAAAAACATTGTGCAACTATCAAAATAAAGTGCGAGTAGACGTAACAATTGAAGGACAAAAGAAAGTTGTTCAACCTTCTTAATTCTCTCGAAGGACCGAACAACAGCCTGCCAGTTCTCTGGCTCAGTCTCTAATATCTTTCTGAATTCTTTTCTAGAGCTCTCCCTCTCCTCATGCCACTTGGAACGATACTCAACTCCCTCGTCCCCTTCCACCCATCGTGCTCTCTCCTCCGCTTTCTCCTTCAATCTCCTTCCATCATCCAACTTCACAGTCAGAATTCTACCGTGGAATTCAACACCATCGAACTCAACAGCTTTCATGGCTGAATTATCCGCAGTTGGACCTCCATAAATCACAAACCCAAAACCCGCATTCGTCTCTGTATTATTATGACCCTTAATCAGAATCACATTCTGTATCGGCCCAAACTGCCGAAAGAACTCAGTAACCTCGTTTTTCTTAACCCAATTGGGCAAGTTACCCACAAATATTTTCCCCTCTTGCCGGAACTGAGTTGCCGGGTTTGAGATATCAGTATCCGAGTCATCAGATTCGGAGTTCCCAGTTTCACGGCTATCCATGTTTCCTGTTTCTTCCTCATCTTGGTCTCGCGGGGGCGAAGGAGGAGGCGGTGGTGGTGGAGAGAGCTTGCTTGTGAGCCAGAGCTTGTTTGTAAGGGAATGCGAGTGGGAATTATTAGGAATGGAAGTAACATGAGCAGAAGAATTGAGGGGATTCTTCTTGAGAGGATTAGACTTAGATGGAGTTAACGGATTCTGCTGCGAGGAAGGAGATGAGGTTTGAAGGGATTTATTGGGGCGGCGTAGCCGGTTGCCGGAAAGCGAGGAAGAATTGGAATAATCAGTAGAATCAGGCGGTGGTTTGAGGCAAACAAACACAGAAGAGGAAGAGGAAGAAGAAGTGGCGGTGGAGGGAATCGGTTTCGCTGCGAAAATAGAGGAAGATAAGGGAAAGGGAGTGCTAGTGGTAGGAATTGCGTACTGTGAGGAAGAGAATGAGAAGGCTTCCATTATCTCTGCTAGATGGAGAATTCTCAGGAAGCATTTCTCAGTTAGCACTGGCCATCCCTCCTGGCCACCGGATATATTTTGTAGTTTTGCTAGCAACATATTTAATATTTAACTATTTAAATTTAAGTACAATAAGAATTAGAAATATTTACGGGACAGAAGATCGGGATTGAATTTTAATTTCGTATCTCATTCTGTCTTGAAAGTCATCCCATCTCATTAAAAATCGAGACGAGATCGGGACAAGATCAGGACGTCCCGCCGTTTCGATAAATGGAATAATATTGAAAAAAGATCTTAATAATAACATTCATTAAAATTTTATATCATATAATTTATTAAGTTTAAAATCAAAACAACACAAGTACATAAATAACAATAATTTAAAATTAATTATTAAATTATATTAATCACAACTATATATTATAATAACAAATACAAGTGATCTTTATGCTATAAGATTAGCAACAACAGGCAAATCAAATACAATATCAAATCATTGTTCTTTTACTTTAGTGAAAATATACTAAGCTAATTACTCTTCTAAAAATAAGTAAGAAATATGTTATAAATAAAAGTTATTAAATAGATAGATATAAGAATAAATTATATTAATATAATTAATATATTATAAAGAAAGATATCGCCATATTTACTTCATGCCATTAAAATTATCAATATAAAAAAACTTTAGTTTTAAATAAGAATTGCAAGTATTAAAATTATAATTGATATAATTAATATAAGTATAAATTATATTAATATAATTAACATATTTAAAATAAAAAATAATTTATATAATATTCGGAACGGGACGGGACGTCCCGATAGTAATCCTGTGTCCCGTCCCGTCCTGAATCCCTTTCCTGTCCCGTCTTGTAAAGCCTTATCCCGATTATTTTCGAGCTAGGACAAGACCCGTTCCGATATAATCGGGACAATACCAAGCTAATCGGAATAGATCTTGACTGAACACCCCTAACAAAAATCACTAGCCACAGGGGAATTTTTCATCTAAAATATAATAATAGAAAAAATAATCTCTAATTAATTCCTTCTAATTTTTCTATGCCAAAATTGGTTTCGAATTAATTTCCTATAATTTATTTTATTTTAATCAAGAAAATTTAATTGATTAAACATTTTAATTCTTAAAAATAAAAATTATTAATGATTAACTTTTCTAAATTTTAAAAATATTTTTAAAATTTATAGAAAATTTGATTTAATAATTTTAGTAAAAAAGAAAATTTTCACTTAATACAACGTTTATTTTTTTTTTTACCAATGGTATTAAATTGTTATAAAATATAACTAATATAAAAAGCAATGAAGAATAAGACAAGACAAGAAGAGGGAGAGAAAACAATTAAAAAGAATTTTTTATTTACTTAGATGCATATACTTTGGACAAAACTTATATTTATAGGCCTTTAACTATTAAAATTTTATTGTAGTGTTGCAAAGAAATGAAAAGATATATTGTAAACACTGTATTTTATCTAGACATTTTTTAAATTTAATAAAAATAATAATAAATAACCAAAATATATATATATATATATATATCAATATAAAAAATAAAATTTAATATTTTTTAGAATTATATTTTCATAAAAAAATCTTTAATTAATAGGTTTAATTTTATCTTAACATAGATAATCTTTTGTTGGTTAGGATCTTATTTCTTTTAATTTATTAAAAATAACCAAAAAATAATAAAAAATACAAAAATAAAATTTAATCCTTTTTAGAATTATATTTTAAAAATAATAATAACAAAATAAAAAAATTCACTTAAATCTTTGAAAAATCTTTTCGAAATTATCCCAACCATTCAAAATATTAGGAATTAATTTTTGAGAGTCAACTCTTCTTGAATTTCTTCCTTTAAATTTTGTTGTCTTTCAAAAAACATATATGCTTGCTTAATTCAAAATCAAATTTTTTTCTAATTTTTAAAATTAATAAACATGATTAAAAAGCAAAAAAATTATGGTTTTTTTTTTAAAAAAGATAAATGATATAAACCGATGGGTTAAACCTTAACCCATTGGTCTCAAAGTCATTTGCTCGGTCAAACGCCACACATATAGGGATGGGAAATCACACACAGAAAGAAAGCTAAAGGAGCAGACAGAAAAGACAGGGAAGAAAAAGAAGACCAAAGCAACACACACATGAAAGCGGAACACACGCAGAGAAGACAGATGCACGAAAACACACAGAAAGAAAGAGTAGAGCAAAAATATGTAGACACAGAGAGCAAATCCAAAATGGCATCCCTTCAATTTGAAAAGCTAGAGACGACCTCAGAGAAAAGCAAGGAATGCCAGAAAAAAAAGAAGCAAGTATGCACAGAGAACACACGAAACCAGAGTCACAGAGGCAGAGAAGAGATGGCAAAGCCAAAGATGAGAGAGCTTTTGACACACACACACACACAAAATGTAGCAGAAGAGAAGGAAAAAAGCAAGAAGTAGAGCAGGTGAGTAATCATTCATCCCTTCTATTCTCTATATAAGTATGAAGAAATTGGCTGAAAAGCAGAGATGGAGGAGACTGAGATGAGAGGGAGAGAGTTTTTTGAAAAAAAAATAGAGACTGAGAGAGAACACTGAGATCAAAGGGAGAAGAGACTAAGATTAGAAAAAAAAGTTCTAAAAAAAGAGAGAAACGAAGAGGAGGAGGAAGAGACCGAGAGACAAGTTTTTTCTAAAAAAAGAGAAACAGAGAGGGAAAGGAAGAGACTGAGAGACAAGTTTTTTTTGGAAAAAAAAAGAGAGAAACTGATTTGGAGATAGATGAAGAGCTGAGGATGGGGAAGACTCAGTGAAGCTCATAATTTAAAAACAAGAGCATTGGAAATAGATTGAAGTAGTGACCAAAGAAGCGGAAGAGAAAGCCGGTTGAATTCAGAAACTGAAAGTGAGAAGACACCCGTTTTGGTAACAATTTTAGGATTAATTTTCATACTCTAAATTCTGATCTCTGATCAAGCCTCTCATGCCACACTGTAAAATTTGGTTTTTGAAATGTTTCAACCTTTTTCTGTAAGGCTTGACTTCAAATGGTTGAAGGATTTTTGCATTATTTAAGCAATTTGTTAGGATATAGATTGGGTTAGATATATGATTTAGATGTTGAAAATGGTTATTTGTAATTGAGAGTCTAATCAAGGCTTGCTGCTACTTATGTTCAGTTCATATCATCCATGGGCATTGCTATGTGACAGTCAAGTCTAGTCCCAAGTTATATTTCTAACTATGATTTAAGGCTTGTTTCACAGTCTAATAGCTAGCAGGTTGTTGAAGGCATACAAAATTTGGACTAAAGGATTATTTAGAGTTGTTTCGCGATTTATAATTTTGAGCTGGTGTATACACATAGGCACGGGCTGGGAGAAATCATTTTTGAGTTTTAAATGTTGTGTGTTTTGACTCATATTGTAATATGTGGCTAGATACTAAACATTGAGAAATCCTTAATGAAATTTTGCTTATTGTCCTAACTGGATTGTGTATGATTTTGGTATGATCCCATTATAATGATGTCTCCAACAATGAAAGAATTAGTGTGATTGTTAGACAGGGTTTTTAAATTGAATTTTAAATATGTTTTTAGCATGCAAGAACATACTAATGTGTAAGAGCATGATTTTCTTCTTTGCATCAATCCTAAGGCCCTTTGCTTGTTTATAATATTGTTACATTCAAATATACCTTATGACACTTTATATCACGATTGTATGCACGTTTATGATGGGCCTATTTGTGTACATTAAATACGGATTTCAAAAACCCACTATTAAAATTAAATCCTTTTTATAAATAATTTATTTAAATTTCATGTGAGATTTTAAGAATTTCCATAGAGATTTAAATTAATAACATTATCATGTAGAATAATAAGTCCTTGCAGATATTGTGACTCTCAATTTATATGAAATAAATAAATGATTTTTGTAAATAATGATATAATATAAAATTTAGAAAATTAATTAACCAAATTAATATATTTAAATTGTAATCATATTTACTGATTATATCTTTAAGTCATGTGAGATTTTTGAATCTCCATAGACTTCTAAAATAATCACATTACCACTTAAGTTAATAAAGCTTCATAGGTATAATGATTAGGATTTCATAAAAACACACACACACACACACACACACATTACATGCCTAATAAATCTAATAAATTAATATATTTAAATAAATTTCATTCTTTTATCGTGTAAGATTTTAGAATCTTCGTAGATATTTAGGATAGTCGTACTATCGTATGAGTCAATAAGGCTCTGCAGATATAACGATTAAGTTTTTTTAAAAAAAAACATATATAATTTATATATTAAATTAATAAAATTAAAAATGTATTTAAATAAATTTAATTGTTTTATCGTGTGAGATATTAGAATCTCCAAAGATATATGGAATAATTATATTACCTATTAGTCAATAAGGCTTTGCAAGTACTGTGATTAAATTCCCAATCATAAAATATTAAAAAAAAATTTAAACCCTTTTTGTTTTATTTATTTCAAAAAATTGAGAAAATAATTAAAATTAAATTACTTTTTACAATTTAAAACACACATATCAAAATTTTAGAAATTATTTTATTTTCAAAATAATGAATTATTTCTAATTAATTTCTCTTCAAAAAAATATTTTCACCAACAATTTTTAAAACCCGAACTATATGGACTTTGATCCCTATCACAGGGCACGTAGGCCTCAGAGTCTGATTTTAAGTCAAGTTCTCCCTTGTAAATAAATAAATATTTCTCACTTAATCCTTATCATTTTTATATCAAACACATGAATAAAAAAGAGATAATTAAAATAATTTTAAAGCCATATTCATATAACACAACAAACTTTAGGTAACCATTCTTACGAACGGGTGTTGTGGGGTGTCTAACACCTTCCCTATACTCAATCGACTCCCGAGTCTATTTTTTTTATTTCGCAAACCATCATTATCCTCTTTTAATTAGTTTTTCAAGATTTCTCTCAAAATTTTAGTGGCGACTCCCGTTCCATCCGG